ATTCAAAGTAGCTAGCCTATCATAGGGAACCCGAAAGGGGCATCGTAAGGGAACTAACACTTCCCTTACACATAACTAACTCCCTTACCCAACTCTGGTTCTAATGACCAAAGTTGGTTTTTCGAAAACCAACGCCTTTTCACTCATTTTCTGATGTTTCCGGTAAAAACGTCGGTGGCGACTCCAACCACACCAATAAAAAACGCGAAAATTGGAAAGTCGGAACCATCGCGTCGCTCCGACCGCCTCGTTTTGACGACGGCGACAATATGTTTTAAAACAAAATTGAATAATATATAAGATAGTGTTTGATGCCTATAATGTGGTTTAGCACGGGTTAGGCAAGTTTATTATCTGCATATTTCATTCAAGCAATAGTAGGTCGCTCAAGTGAAATGTGCAATAGAGGAAAGGGTTACTCTCTGGTGTATATTTCATTCAAGTGAAAAAATCTTGCTCAAGTGAAAAAATCCCAGTGAATGAGGCTTGTATCAAGTGTATTTTCGCTCAAACGGGAAAATTTATGCTCAAGTGAAAATTTTCCATAAAAGAAGTGAATGTTAGGAGGGTTTTCATTTAAGCGAAACTCCTTAAATGATTTTTGTTTGAACTTCTAAAAAAAAGAAAAATGGTTTTGAACTCTAAATTTAACATTTAATATATGCAAATTTAATCCTTAAAAATAAGGAATATAATGGAACAAGAATTAGTAAAAAATAATATTTGTAGAAAAAATTATGATCAAAATAATAGACAAAGATCAAATAAAAAAAATATTTTTTTGGTAATGTAAGAAATGATATATACATGAGTTAAGATATTAGAATACATGTATTGATATAAAGTAATGTGTGTTGAGTGTTAATATATGCATAAAATAATATATTATTATAATGTGAGAAATATAATTTGATACTCTTATATGTGTGTGATAATGTGATGAACTAATAAAAGTTAACATAGTAATTTCCAATGAGAAAATAATATGTTAAGATGCAAGTGATGGTATTAAATTTGGGATTCTGAACCTTACTTTACCTATACTAAACTCACATAGAGAAAAATATCAAGTGGTGAGAGTTGAAGGAAGTCTCAGTGACTTAACTTGTGATATGAAAAAAAACTATATTTATTAAATTATAGGAATTTACCTTATCACACAAGAGAGTGCATTCAAAATATGTACCTATGTTGAAGTTATCCACTTAGGAAATGTAGTGTGACAAATGCCAATATCTAAGTCTAAATTTAACGCGTGTAATTCTTTCAAAAGTAGAGTCAAATGTCTATGGTTTTGAATGTCAACTAATGATGACATGAGATATAGTTTACAAGTTGAGGAGTTAGACACTTGGTTTATTGTATAGTTATGGTGTTTGATTTATTTATTGATGATGTGAATGTTTAGAATATTTTCTTATAATTATATGAGTAAAGAATTTTATTACTAGCTTACCCTAATTTATGTGGTATGTAGATCTAAATTGTGATAAACGTATTGATGCACATAAATAAATGATATTTCAGATAGTTAGTTTCAATATTGAGTTGCTGACAAAGTAAAAAGAAAACTTTATATTTCAATTATTTGAATATATATATATATATATATATATATATATATATATATATATATATTTATTGACCATGATAACATTTATTTAAAAATAACTAAATATATTTATCTCCTTAAATATTTTAATCTTACATTTCAATTTAATTGTTGAGGGACTCGTTACATCAAGGAGTGTCAAAATAAGCTTAGATCGATGGGTTAACTTGAAAAATAGGCCAGATTAGGTTAAAATATTTATGGTCTAAATAGAATCAAACCAATTTTGACCCGACCTATTTAGATCATGGCCTAAATGAGCTTAGGTCGAGCTAGCCCGTAGGCTTATGAGCTAGTCCATTCTATAAAATAATAATTATTTTAAAAATAAAATAAAAGTAATATTATTATATTAAAAAATATATATGTATAATAAATTAATTTGATAATATTATATATATATATATATATATATATAATTTAGAAAGAATAATAAATCCTAAACATAAATTTCATTTGTTTTAGTCATATTCTCCGTTGCACACCTCCAACACCTCTTCCTACGTTTGTGTATGTCTCCATATATATTCTTTACAGGTATTTTAATTTTTGTTCCTAAGTTTGTGTATGTCTCCATATATATTCTTTACAAATATTTTTATTTTTGTTAATTTATCTTCTGATTAAATTTTAATTTATTCTCGCAACACTTGTTTAAATTATAAAAATTCCATTTCGTACTAGAGAACCTCCTCATATAATTGGTAACTTATCTATTAATAATTATGATATGCCTAGTAAGAGTAAGAGGGATAACTTTGAACAAAAAAGTGAAGTTTCTAAGAAAGTAAAAACCAATACTTCTGAAGTGTGGAATTATTTTGAAAAAGTTGGTCTAGTTGAAGGGGTAGATAAATATAAATATAAGGGTTGTGGAAAATTGTATACATATAAAGGAATTTTGGGGACCAATAATTTAAGACAACATATTCCTAAATGTAGTGTATTCGTAAAGTATCATGATGTGAGTCTTATGTTGGATAATAAGGCTAGCTTGTTGAAATAATAAAAATTTGACTCTAAAGTTTACAAAGATGCACTTGTTAGATGCATTATTAAACATGATCTTCCATTTAGTTATGTTGAGTATGAGGGGGATTTGGGAGATAAATAAAGTTTTGAATTTTGATTTTAAACTCATTACCAGAAATACTTCAATCACTGATGTTTATAACGTATATTTAACAAAAAAGAAAAAGTTAAAAGATGTGTTATCTAATATTTCTGGTAGAATATGTTTTATTTCTGATTTATGGACAACTATAACTTCTCAAGGCTATGTAACTATGTTTGACTTATGATTTATGGACAACTATAACCTCTTAAGACTATGTTTGACTTCTTATTTATGGACAACTATAACTTCTCAAGGTTACATGAATATAACAACTCATTTTGTTGATCAAAATTGGAAATTAAAGAGTAAGTTACTCTCATTTTGTCACTTAGATAGTGCACACACTCGATAAGAGTTACCAGGGAATGTACTTGAAGTATTAAGGGTTAGGGAATAGAAGAAAAAATATTTTCTCTCACATTGGACAATACCTCAACAAATGATTGCATGGTGAAAATTTTAAAAGATAGACTTAATTTGCAAAATGTTTTATTACATAAAAGTGAATATTTGTATGTGAGGGATTGTGCACGTATCTTGGATATTATAGTTCAAAATAGATTACATGAAATTTTTATTTTATTTTTTTATCCATTTTTATTTACTTTAGTTCTTTGTGTTATGTTACAAGACATTGATAAAGTTAGTTTAAAAAATATTTAAACTTTGGTAAAAGATAAATTATTGTACGATGATTCTTATAATTTTATTTTGCCTAAAAGGATTATGAATTAATAAATGACATAATTTTTTTAAACAAAATTAAAAAAAAAACTATATAAATACTTTTTTAGTTAGACAAATCGTTAGTCCCTTAGCTTAACATAGAATCAGACTAGGTTAAATATTTTGACCCGTTTTAAGATATAGATTAGACTGGACCGTTAGATATTTTTTATTTGATTCATAGAATCGAGTCAATATTAGATTGGATCGTCTATTTTGACAATCCTACTTTTATTATAAGATTGACTTGAAATTATTACTTCGTACAAAAAATATCCCATTGTATAATGTAATACAATATTTTTTTAAAAGATTTAAAAGTTATTGTTTATAATATATTAAAAATAAAAAATTATATGTAAATAGTTTATTTAGAAAAAAATATTTACTTGATTGAATTAAACACTTTGCAACCATATAATTATTTAACTAACAATTTTATATTTTTGACACTAAATTAATAATGATTAACGATAAAAACTAAAAAAAATATCAAATTATGAAATATTTAGAAATAATAAAGAAAATAAGACTACGAGGACTTAAAAAATATATTTATTTCAATATATTCTATTAATTTTAAATTACGTAAGATAGAAAAAGAAAATATATAATATTTTTTATTACTTATAATTTAAAAATATTAAATTAGTAATTAGTGAAATATAAAAGAATATTACTTTTTTCCCATTATATGTAAAATATCATTTTATTATACATTAAAAGTAAATTATTTTATAATTATTAAAAATTGTAATATTAAAATTAGTAAGTAAAAAAAGGCAAATTCTAAGTATATATGTAAAACATAATTAATTTTAATATAAATACAATATTAAATGTAAATTATTAAATAAAATAAAAATAAAATCACCCCTTTATATTAAATAATATAAAAAATTCTTAAAAAAATTACAAGCTAAAAAAATCTAATTATCTTAATTGAAAATATTCTGTACTGTATTATATATATTTTTAAAACTAATTACAAGTAATAATAAACATTAAACATATTTAAAAAGTTAATAAATATCTTTCAAAAACTATTTAAATTGAAATAAAATAACTATTTTTGTTTTTTTTTCTTATTAAAGGAATGAAAAGTGAAATAACTTTTTTTGTCAAGACAAACAAAATTGACCTCATTAAAAGCCACGTGCGTTTTAATCAGTCAACGACAAACAATGCGTATGATTGTGATGCACGACTTACGATGCTTCAGTAAGAATTTAAGTTCACGCGCTACAACTGCACGTGTCACCATTTTTGAAATTTATGGATATCTCAATGCATGAAAGATTATATTTAATCTATTTAAGTTTTTTATAATTATTACAATAAATTATTTATTCCAAAAATAAAATATTTTTTTATTATTTATTAACTTTATTTATTATTTATTTACAAGAAATAAAATAATTTCACCAATTTTAAAATATTAATCTTTTACTTCTTTTTTATAATTACCTTTCTTGCTTAAATGATAATGGTATAATTAAAATAAAAGCAAGAAAAAATTTGATACTTTTGTTTTTACAAGCGAGGATGAATGAGTACTTTATTATAATCTATATTATTATATATAATATACAATTTTTTTAGAAATGATTTTTATTTGTAATAACATAATTTATATAATTTAATGAAACACGTAACTTCTCGATTCAAAATTCAAATAATGAATTAACAAATAGCTATATCAAATATTTTTTTGGTCATGTTTTTTTTTAGATTATTCTTACAGAATTTTATTTTTAAATTGCTTTTAATTTTTTAATATAATAAAAATGCAAACAGATAGTTTACTAATATCAATAATAAATATTATTAATAATATCCACAACTACGTAATATTAACTATAAAAAAATATTAATAAAAAAATATTACAGCAATAATTTATTTTAAAATATTAAATCTTTTCAAAAACTTTTTTTTCTTTAATTTTATATTTTTTTATTTTTATTTTTATTTTCAATTGTTTTTCTTCTGGTTTATTTAATTTTAGCAAATACACACACAAAATAACCTTCGCTAAATTTTTTTAAGCATCAAAAATAGTATTTTAGTCTTTTAAATTCATTTAATACAAAATAATGTGGAGAGTATTTTTAAGATAATATTTTTATAAAGTCTAACAAGTTTATTATACATAATGTATGATTAAAGAATTTATATAAATAATATATAGTCTTTTAAAATACAAAATTGCCTTTGATAAATAAATGAATAATGCGAATGGTAATGTGTTCTGAACCGTTAAGTCACTCACAAAACGACACTGTTGATTGCGTTTCACAAACTCCCCCATATGTGTTCACGCATTACATTTGCGTCTGCCATAACCCAACAGAAAAGTCACAGCATTCAATATTGGAAAAAAGATACATAATGTAACGAATCTTGGCATTTATTTCATCGCCGAGGAAAAGAAACACTACTAAGAGTATTGCTGCGATCCGACTCAACTCTTAACTTATTTTATGGTTAAAAGTAATGTTTTAAAAATCGACCAGTGATTAGATAGGTGAAACCATGAATTTAGGTTTGAAATTTAATCAGAATTTAATGTGATTTTATAAAATAATATTTTTATAATATAAAAATATATAATAAATTTATTAATAATAATATTTTTTTAAACAATAAAAATAATTATAAATTACAAATATAAAATATATTAAAACATATAAAATAAATAATAATTAAAATATAATAAATTAACTATTATTTAAGATTAATATAATTAATATAAGATAAAAAAATATTATATATTTTTTAAAATTGATTTTTAATTTTATTTTTTATTACGTAGTCGATTTTTGGTTTTTTTATGTAAAATCTAATTATTTAGAAGTAATATATTTGATTAAATTAGTTAATCCAATTTTAAAAATATTAGTTAAAATTATATAATATTCATTATTTATATTTAAAAATATCATAAATTTTAATTTAATTTAAACTTATATTAAATTAATGGATCAAAGAACTATTTTTATCTAACTAAAGATAAAATAAAAAATTACAATCTATCTTTATAGAAATAATTAATCTTAAAATAAAATTATAATTTAAAATTTAATTTCATATTAATAAATTAATTTTATTTTTAAATATAGTTATTTGATATATAAATCATAATATATATATATATATATATATATATATATATATATATATATTAAAAAATATTATTTATTTATTTTAATTTAAAACTAATAATTATGTTATAAAATATATAAAACATAAATCCACATATTTACTTAGCTCTATATCACAAATGAAATAACTGTAACCAAATTGACTTGGTTAAGCTTAGATTATAGTTATTTTTTATTTTTATTTTACTTATTTTATTTTTAAAAATTTTTAAATCAACCCATCATATTATACCTACTTACATAAGAGAGAAAATAATTTTAATATATATATATAAATCAAGATGATTTCATTGAATACATAATTAAATATAATTTATCATTTTTAATAAAAAAATTCGAAACATTTACTAACATTATTTGTTTAAAATCCTATTAGAGAAATAAAAGTTAGAATTAAAATTGTCTTTTTTTAAGGTTGAAAAAGATCAAAATTTCTTTCCTTATTTATTGAATCTATTTGTTTTTTTAAGGTCAAATACAATTAATATTAAAATGATTGTAATCAAGTGTCAAAGTATGGAAATATTTGTTATGTTTTGTCACGTTTGTGTAAATTAAATTATTTTTAATCTTAAAAAAAAATTAAAGTAAACTCCAATTTGGACAGATTTTTAATTGTAATACCATAATCAGTTAAAACTTGGAAAATATCTTAACAGTTTTCAAATGATTTTAATAAACAATAACCTAAATTAAAAAGGATATTGATCAAAGATTTGGAACTTTTTATGAAAAATAAATTTTATAATATTAATTTAACTTTTCTCCCTAACCGCGGGTAATTAAATTTCAAACAACCGCTGAAGCATCTTGCAGTTGAAACAACGTTGAGTTTTAATTTTATTTTTTTATACTCTTCCATGCAAATGAACACAATTTGATTATCTGAAAGAAACAATAATTTGATTATATTATTTTTTAATTTGAATTTTATTTTTCAAAAATCAAACAACTCAGAAAAATTTGCAATCATTTAACTGCTATCTATTTTTTTTATTTGTCGTCAAGCAGTGGTAATTTTACATGATTTTTGTGTGTTATCTGTGTCTATTTTTAAATCTTTAATAAATTTATACGAGACTTAGGAGTAATTTTTTAAAATGTAACTTAGTTTATTTTTAAGATTTATTTATTTACAGTACTAATAATAATCTATTTTCAAAACAGGAAATAAAATATTTTTTTAATATAATAATAATAATATATTCTATAAATAAATTAACAGTAATATTATATATGCAATATCCGTATCTCATTTTACACATTTAAAATATTTTATCGTGATATTAATTTTTATCACATTTTTTTCATCGAATAAAGTCTGATTAAGATATTTGTATAAAAAAAAGTTGTATCGTGGAGAAACTATTTATCTGAATATTTTATTTGTATATTATATTGCTTTTAAATTTTAAAAAATATTATATTCATAAAATAAATATAAAATGATTTTAATAAAATAACCGGTGAATATAAAATGATTTCAAACAAACCCTTTTCAGGCAAAACGTTTTCCAAATAAGGATAATAAGGTAGAAATAAAAATTCGTTGAGGGAAGGGAAGAAATAAATAAAGAAATAAAAAATAATGGTCTATTAAATTGAAAAAAATTAAGAGACCAAACACAAAAAACCCAGGTCTTTCATTTATTTCTTTCATTCTGTGCTGGGCACATCAAAACAATTCAAGAGCGAGAAAGATTTGGATTCCGTTTGAAGTCTGCGTCAGTACTCAATTCATTCATTCCACTCGTTACTGATCGTCTATCCGATCTCCACCGTTTGATCAATTCTTCCCTGATTCTTGGGTCAAACCCAAAATTAATTTTTAATTCAAGTAATAATTCACATCAACGATTGTTGTCCCGTCGCATGATCACACTTCCTTTCACCTAGTTCCGCTTCTGGGTTCTCTTCTTCCTTTCCTGGGTCGGTGTTTTTTGGAAAAAAGTTTGATTTTTTTATCGCCAATTTATTTTGTGGTTTGGTTGAAGTGATGCTGGACTTCAGGGAAAGTTCCAGTGTAAAGGGGTTACTATTCGGGTTTTGGGGTTAATTTTGTGATGGTCGAGATGCAACGCAATAATACTGAGTTGGAGGAAGGAGAGGCTTTCTATTGTTATAAGGATGACGATGATGACAACATTGACCTTGATTCTCTCTCTTACATTGTAAGGGTTTACTTCAAATCTTAAACGAGTTCAATGTTTCTGGTTTGGTTTCTCTTTTACTTAGTTTTTGCTCGGAAATAGGACGAACAAGTGAAATAATTTATTACCATGATGATGCTATCATATATCACTGAGCATGAATTTTCAATTTGTCAATGTGTTTCGTTCCTTGGGACATACAGAAAATCGAACAGTTATTGACTTTTTTATTTTTTTGATTAAACAAAGTTATGTGTTGTTATTATAAAATAACTTCAGCACTACAATCGAAGAGATGTTGAAACATCATAGAATGTATCGAAAACTGACAAGCACAATCCTTGAGAAGTGTTAGTACATACTATGGATCAATTATGTTTGTCTACGGATGCTGTAGCTGCTTTTCAGTGTGTTTGTTTCTCCATTTTAAAACCCAATTGATCGCCAATCCAAGATTAAGTATTGGAAAGCGGGGTAATGAGAAAACAAACACACTTTCTTGCAGCTGTATCTACAATCTGCCACATACAATACAATCAATAACTACATGCTGCATCAGCTGTACTTCTGCATATTAGTGGTGATGAAAGTTTATCTTTTTGTTGTTTCGAAGATTGTTGATGGTATGCAAGCTTGCATTTTTATTTTGCCCGTTAGAAAAGATTATCACCTATCAATTAAATAATAAAAACCATGATAATAGTTGAACTTTTGTTGCTGTGCTTAATGTTGTCTGTCATGACGTTGGTTTTCTTCGTGATACTTCTTAGCCAATGCAATTTTTTGCTCTAATCGATGTCCTCTTGATTAAATTTCATCTTTAAAATAATAGAACTAATTACTTGCTTCCTGTTTTCTCTAGGATGAGAGGATTCAGCATGTTCTGGGTCATTTTCGAAAGGAATTTGAAGGAGGTATTTTTCCTGAGCGTTTGGGTAAGTGACACAATAGAAACCATAGCTGGTAACCAGAAGTAAATATCTGTCTAGGCACTCGCATAAGTAACATTATCGGATAAAATGAACAATTTTTTCAGGTGCAAAATTTGGTGACTATGGCTCTTTTTTGCCCACCTATGAACGCTCCCCTCGTTGGCAATCTTGTCCAAAGGATCCAGAAAAACACCATAGTTCACAAAAATTTCCCAGCAATATCCATATGGCGGTATATTACAGTTTGTTACTTTTTTTTTCCCTTTTTTGACCATTGGATAGGAAAAGAATGTGTTAGCTTGGAAGAACGGATTAGTTGAGCATTGTTGGTTATACTTTTATATACAGGCTGCATTTTATAACTCAAAAGCACCTTCAAATATGCCTCCTTCCATGAGGCTTGGAACTGCTTCCCATAAAGTTCTTGCATCTCAAGATACAAGAGTAACTTCAGTGAACAACACAGGCATTTCCTTGAATAAAGTAGCAGAGAAGTGCAGTTTGAAAGATGACTGCACAAATAAGTCAAAGAAGTTGACTGATCAAAGAATGCTGATATCGCAAATCAAAGTGAAATCAGATAGCTTAGCAAAGAAGAATGCAGAAATTTACAGTGGTCTTGGACTTGATGACTCTCCTTCTTCCTCAACGGAAAACAGCCATAAGGAAAGTGAAGATATGCCTCGTGTATCTCAAGATTCGCCTGTAGAGTCTCCTGCTACCATTGTTCAGGTAGAGGACGTGTTCTATTTCTATGAAACACTTAAGGATATGTTGTCCAGTGATCATCAAATAAACACTTAAGTTGTTTCTGTAATCAGAGATCAAGGGTTAAATTATTTTCATGAGTTGTAGGATTTTTCATTAGTTAGATCGGAGAGCTTATTGAAAATGTTGGAAAGGGACTCACACTTGAAGAGGGAGTGTTAGAATTTAAGTGTGCTGAAGTTCCATATTGTGTAGAAATGGTGAAATTTGACTAACATATAAGTGTGAAAGACCACAAATCTAATGCCTAAATGTTTTAGGTTGAAGATAAGATCATATTCTCTTATATGATTGTCTTATTGGTGAACACAAGTTCAAATGAACTGGAAGTAAACTCTTCCAAATTCACCCTTTATATCTAACACAAACACTCTAGCAAGAGCATTTTGGGCTTGAAGCATGGATAATGCATTGGCATACTTTATCTTGTGTGCTGGAACTTAACTTTTCTTAAAAGGGAATGAAGACAACAAGGATTGACCTCTAGACTACATGGTCAAGAAGCTTTGATATCATGTCATAAAACCAACTACCCTAAAAACATAAACTGTTTGGTGAAAGTACATGAATTGTTTTATATATAACAATATATATATATATATATATATATATATATATTCATTTATTTATTTATCTTTTTATAAATTTTTATCTTTGATATTGCAGGCTATGACTTCTTTCAATATCCCAGGCGGTGTGCTAATATCACCTCTACATGACAGTCTACTCTACTTGATTAGAAAGGAAAAATCCTTTAGAGACCGAAGACCCATTTCTTCTCTTAATGGTCATCAGGAACATTATTCCATGTCAACTGATGAGTCAGATTCTGTTGCGGGGGATTCACATTTGTTGAAGAAAAGGAAAGTGACAGTGATAGACCAAAGTGAAAAGCATCATATGAATGGTAACTGTTCTGATAATGACATGACATTGCATATGAAGAAAAGATTAGGAAATAGAACTCCAGATCGTAAGGACTTTCTGTCTAACGATCTGAGACGCACACCACTGTCAAGTTCAATTTGTGATGGTGAAATGGCTGAAGTCACTGGTAAGGCTATTGAAGTATTCAAGGAGGTCAATAAAAATGGTGTGGAATGTAGAATGGTTTCGACTGAAGCAGTGAAAGAGATTTCACTGGAGTCAATATCTGATCAGGATTTTGACAAGATTGAGAAGCAAAATACAGGAAGTAGCTTTACGAAAAAAGTGTCTGCTGATCCTAAGAATATTAGCAATTGTAACACTTCTGCAATTTCAAAAAGGATTAAGTCCGATGAAATGAAATATAAGGTGGATCAAGATACTCAAAAGTGTGATACTAATCAGACCAAGGTAAAATCTGAAAGGAAGAACGAGTCAAAAGGTGAGCAGGGACCTAGAAAAGTTGTTACTGATGCTGAAAAAGATATCTTTGGTACTAGTAATAATGTAATGGTAAATGATAGAAAGTTTACTAGCATTGGTGTTACTTCTTCTAAAAGTAAAATGCATAAAGTGAAGTCACTGAAGGATAATAAGGTCAGAGATTGTGACAGAGGTTCACCAAAAAGAAAACCACAACGGAAGGTTGATGGAATAGATCCAACTGATGGGCCTCCCCTTAACAAGGCTACAGTAAATTGTAACCTTAATCATGTTGAAAAGAATGCAAGTAGGGTTAAAGTAAAGGAAAGAGCAAGTGGCAATAAAGTGGTTAATCAGTTGACAGCTGCGCCATGCGCAAAAGATACTCCAGGTGCATTTCCTGATGCTGAAAATAAACCAACTTCTGAGATGGTTCTGTCATCATCAGCAGGAGCACCTCAACTTATTGAAGAAGATTGGGTATGCTGTGACATTTGCCAGAAATGGAGGCTTCTACCTATGGGTTTAAAGCCAGATCAACTTCCAGAGAAATGGTTGTGTAGCATGCTATATTGGCTGTAAGTTCATTACTCTCATCTTGGGTTCATTTATGAACATATTTTTTAGTTAAAAACACAGTTTATGTTTATTATAACCTAATTTGTGCAGTATCTGGAAAGATATGCAAATTATGATATATATTTTCTACTTTCTCCAACTGCATACATTTGATCTTTGCTGTATGTATTACTAGATTCTCATTGTTCTTCTAAATTGTTGTTAGGCCTGGAATGAATCGTTGTAGCATCAGCGAGGAGGAGACTACAAAAGCACTTTATGCTTTATATCAAATGCCAATTTTTGAGGGTCAAAGTAACATGCAAATCGATGCCACTGGACCTGAAATTGGAGTGAAATCTGTTGATACTCTACAACTTTGCCCTATTCACAAAAAGCCCAGTTCTGATGTAATGCTTGATCAAGGGAGGAAGAAACAAGGTAGTAATGAGAAGGCGAAGTCAGGAATCAATAGTGACAGGCATCAGTTGTCAAATACAGAAAAGAACAATGCTCAAGAGTCTGTTAAAAATAGAAGCTTGAATGACATGAATGAGTGGCCTGCAGGTTCAAAACGAATGAAGAAATCTAATTCTCAAAATTTGAGCAGGTTGAACAATTTGATAGAAGAGAAAAACTCACATAAGACAAAAGAATATCGAATGAATGGAGGTATCTCATTCACTTTAGGGTTGATATATTTTGTTGCTGCTTCATATTTGTTTTATGGTGCAAATAACTATATATTAATGTTTTCTAAAAGAATATGCCAATGTGGTTGTCAAATCTGTTCAGGTGACACAAATCAGGTTAGATTGAAACGTAAGATGGAGGATAATCAACGTGGATCTGGAACTCCTAAGAAATCTAAGATTGAAGTTGTTTCCTATGCTGATAAACAACTGAAACATGGCATGAAATTTAAAGAGGTGGGTCTAAACTCAAGAAATGACATACCACCAAAAGCTAGTGGGGAAAATACAAGGAAATGTGATGATTATTGTTGGTCTGACGATAGCAAGTTTGTAGTTCCGGCAAAGAAAGGAGACCGGGCACAGTTTTCATCAGATGATGGTTCGTTGGATGCTATAAACATCAAGCAAAGTGGTTCAATTAAGAAAAGGAAAATGAGTGAGTGGATGGATGATGAGAAACATAACAAAGCATTCTACGTTGAAGGTGACATGCATCGTGTTAAAGAGGGCAATGTAAATAGGAAAGAGAAGAAGTATACAGTTTTGAATACAGAGGCAAAACTAGCAACTGAAAGTGATGATAAATTTATTAAAGAAAGTGGGGTGAAGCGAGTTTTCTTGTCAGACAGCAGGGACAAAACGGCTATTGGGACAGAGATGAAAAGTAATACCAATAAGGTCCACCAGCCTAGAAAGCACAAAAAAAATGTTGCTTCTTACCAAGCTTTGGATTGTTTTGATCCATTGGGTAAGGATTTAGGCTCTGGACATTTTTCATTGGCAGCAACGTCAAGTTCTTCTAAGGTTTCAGGGTCTCATAAAGCTAGAACTAACCTTGAAAATCTCATAGGCTCACCAGTAGAATCTGTTACCTCATCACCTTTGAGGACCTCCAACATGGAGAAACGTATTTTGGCAGCAGGGGGGGACACATCAGAAAAAGATGATGCTAGAAAAGGTGGTCTATCAATAAAAAAATTAGATTGTAGGGGGGAGAAGTTATCAGTAAAAATGGAGAGAAGTTCACACGATGGTGGTGGTTTACATCATGAGGAGAAAATGAACAAGAGTAATCACGAAAATGCACTTTCTTGGCAGAAATCTGGTAGGCTTACCTCATTACGGGTTAAGGAAAAGGTCAGAAGTTCTGGTTCTGAGGTTAGTAGGGATAAGATGAAGGTTTCACAATCAGATAATGATTTTTCCCAAAATGGTGTGAGTTATGAGTTAGCAGTTGATCCTAATAATCACACTACTGGCACTGAGATAAGAAATGATGATAAGAACAATTTCCTGAAGTCCAAACAGAAGATTGACAATCTTAGCAAGCAAAGTTCTTCAAGGCATTGGTCAGATGAAACTGGAAAACAAACTGAGCTAAAACAAAAAGATTTTGGGAATCCAATTCTGAAAAGGGAAACGTTATGTATGGGTTCTAGACCTGCACCCAAGTCACAAAAGGGAGATCTGTCTAATGGCCATCAAGTCCATGGATCTGGCAATGGTGATGTTCCTAGGTTTGTGAGAGATGCAGTTGATGTTAGTTGCAAGACTGGAGTTAATTGCAGTTCAGGAAGTGTAGTACCCGAGGGACAGCTCAGTGGGTCAAGTTCTGTGACAACAAATTCTAGCCAAACTGCCTCTAGCATGCTGGAAAAAGCCACAAAGCTAAAAGATTCTGCAGATCATTATAAGGTTATTTCATCATTCAAAGATTTTACTTCACATCTGTTTTATGTAGCGTCTTTCTTTTTCTAACCAATTATTTCATTCTGACTGTAGAACTCTGGTTTTGAGTTTGAAAGTAATGAGACTTATTTTAAAGCTGCCTTGAAGTTTCTGCACGGAGCATCACTTGTAGAAAAATCCCACAGTGAAAGTAGCAAGCATGGAGAGACGAATCAAATGCAAATATATGCCACTGCAGCTAAACTTTTTGAGTAAGGAACATTTGGAATCTAATTTTGTTATTTCTACAATCTCGATTTATTATGTTTTTGGTCCAAAATTACATTTAGAGGGGAAAAAAGGGTTTGACAATGTTCAATAAATTCAAAATTTCAAACTTTCCTTTGGAGACTTGGATTATATATGGTGGCAACTAAAGATAATTAAAAGAATTATTAAACTATTTCTGCTAAGTATTTTTTTAAAGTTCTCCTTGTCCTTAATTTTGTAATGAAGATCTCCCTTTTTCCTATTGAGGGTTCCTACTTTTATTTGGGGGGATGGGGGTGATTGTGCTTTGAGGTCTATGGGGATTAAGAGGACAATAGGAGCTATAAAACATTGTATTACCATCACTGCTTGATGCTTTAAACTATAAGTCTTAATTTGTCTGCTTTTGCAATTACTTAACCTAAGCTAACTTCTTTGCTTGCCTATAAACACTAACCAAAACAGTTGTTTGGATCTGGTGGGATTTTGTATGTCATTTATGAGATACAAAGGCCAATCACCATCTTCAATTACACTCCTTCAAAACCCCTCAACTTAGTCATCGGTGCTTTCTGACTTCCTAACTTAATTAACTTTCTGTGTTTCACTGCTGCTTTGTGCTGTTAAAAAAATACTCTTCATATGTTAAAATTCTTGATTATTTGTTTTGGCCTCCCTTTAATCATAAAATACCATAAAATATATTCCAGATCCTGTGCCCATAAATATGAAAGACGCCAAGAAATGGCTGCAGCTGCTTTGGCATATAAATGCATGGAGGTGGTATACATGAGATTGGTTTACAATAAACATTCTAGCATAAACAAGGATCGCGATGAGTTAAAGTCAATTCTACAAATGGTTTCTCAAGGTAATTGAATCTAGTTTTGATTTTAGATAAGTATGTATGCCTTCAGGCTTGTTGATCATTTCTGTACGTTGGTGATGTTTCACCTCTTTTTACTCCATTATTTAGGTGAATCTCCTTCGTCTTCTGCATCTGATATTGATAATTTAAATAACCTGGCGGCAGTGGATAAGGCCACTTTGACAAGGGGTTCTAATACTCATGTTGCTAACAATCAAGTCATATTCGCTCGGAATCGCCCAAATATTCTCAGGCTTCTGGACTTTGTAAGTTTTAATTTCTTGATGCACCTTAGAAAATCTATCTGGGTGATTTGATTCTGTAGTAGCATGGAACAATTTTTGGGGATTTAATGGTTTAATGATTTAAGATAATAGTAGGAAATTTGTTACGTATTAGACTACCAGATAGAATGTTTGAGAAAAGTCTGTATGGATGGAAGCTGATCTTTCTGTGCTAAATAGGAAGATCGAATTTTTCTTCTCAAAACCATTTTTGTTGCATGCAAGATCTAGACTCACACCTGTAATTCTTGAAAACAAAAGTAGAGATTGTTATATAACAAACAAATGGTAATTCAACTGTCAAATTGGCTAGTGTCACCCTGCACATTTTAATGCAACAAATCATAGTTTTTGTCGGAGGTATAGTGTTTAACTTGTGATTTTGCAGACGCAAAACATAAGTTTCGCAATGGAGGCTTCCAGAAAATGCAAGAGCACTTTCATGGCTGCTAATTTGGACATGGAAGAAGAACGGAATAGGGATTGCATAGCTTCGATTAGGAAGGTAGTTGATTTCAGCTTTCACGATGTAGATGAGCTTGTACATCTGGTTTTGACTGCAACAAAAGCAATAACTCGTGCTGGTCTTGGTGGTGTTAGAGATTAAGTTGATACTGTATATAATATTTGTTTTGGGTTTCTCTTCTCTACTGAGAAAAGGTATCCTGAAAGGAAGTGGCTTAAGAAAATCCACCTATGCTGGCACCTGGAAATTACTCTTATGTACATGTGTACAAATGAGACTGTAATCAAATTTTGGAATCTATTTTAATTGCTCAGGTTCTTCTTATTTGTGAATAGGATCAGAATTCTCTCACCCTTAAATTTAATGGGTTAGATAGATAGAGCCTAGTCATTCCTTCTTGTCTAGTCACCGAGGATGGATATCATGTAATTGTTCAGTGCTATACATTCTTTGCTCCACTGATAATGGAGCCAAAAAAAACCAGCATTAGATTTATATCTCATAATTATTATCATGTTTTATTTATGGTTTGATGTTTATTTCGAATGTTAAGAATCATATACTATTAAATTATTACTCATTAAAATCGATTCTACCATGATTTAATTATAGTTGAATGATTGAACTTGAAATCATTATCTAGTCCAATTTTAAAAATATTAGTAATAAATTAGATTGGATAAAAAAAATAAAAAATTGTAACACTGGTTTGGTATAACAACCTGGTCATTAGTTTGATAAGTATGAAACATGAGAATAACTTACAGAAGGATTTTTTTGTCAATACATATATTGTCCTTAGCTTGTCACGTTTTCTTTTATGCTCTTGGAGAATTTTATCATTACCTATTTAACATTGATTGCTTATATTTTTTTACCAAAAAATTATAATTCTTTTTAAAAGTATCGAAATAGATAAAAATTTTAAAAATTACAAAAATAGAAAAACAGACTTTTTTATTTTAATTTAATTACTTAAATATTATTGTAATAGTAAATGTGATAATAATATCAATATTATTAGTATTATTAATTATTAATAATAATCTTAATCTTATTATGATTATTAATTATATTTTCACTGACGATTTTATTTTGTTTGCAAACATGATTTTCTGTAAATAAAATTGTATTATTATTAATTTTCATTATTTTTTTAAATGGTAACTATTTAATCATTTCTAAAAGATATTACACTGTGGTAAAAAGCTTAATTTTGGTAAAGGAAAGTTTATACTATGTGTATTTGTCAACTTATTTAATCATTTTATTTTATTTTTTACTTTAATTTTGTTACGCATTGTACTTATTTTATCTTTTATTTTTCGCATATTTCTTTTCATGGATTTCACTGAGGAAAATTTATAAGATTAAATAAAGTTAAATTTATCGCTACCATTAGTACCTCGTTACTTCAATAATTGTTATTATATTCCTCCTCAGTTTGCATTCCATTTTCATTCACAAGTAGCTTCAGTAGATGCAGGTTATTTTGAATAAAGGAAATAAATATTCAACGATTTTCCCATTGATTAAAATGAAATTAAAGAAGAATATAAAGAAACATTTATTTGGATTTATGAAATTTACTTATAAAACTTTTTTTAATAAAGTTAATAATTTTATTATACATTAGAATTCATGATTCTGAGGTAATATAATAAACACATGTCTGACAAGTTAGATTTTTTTTTTCAAGTGTGAAATTGAGCAATTTTTAATTCTTTCTTATTTCGTAGAGAGTAAAATTAGTAATGAATCTTATTGGACTCTTCTTGCGTTTACATTCAAATAAACACGATCAGCGTGTAGAACACAATATTCACAACAAATCACCAGCGTGCAATTGAAAATTCAAACTCCGTGATGTGCAATTGAAAATTCCTTCATGATACCCTTCACTGTTCAATCCCATTCTTAATGCCAATTTTACTTGGAGAACTACCAACTTCATGTTTCTGATTCAATATTAACATTAATATGCTTATGTGATTGTGTTAGTGATGAATAATATGGACTGTTTTTTAAATTCTAAAACCAAAATGAAAGGCTACTTCCTAAATTATTAAAATTATTGCTCTTAAATTATCAAATTTTCAAAAATTTTATGGAATATCCTGCTGGACATTGTTCTTCCGAGAAATACTAAAATGATGAGAAAAATCATTACCAAAAATCTCCACAAGTGCATAATCCATTTTTGAAGTGATGAAATCTGTTCACATCTCTCACAATCAATTCTCTCTCTACAATATCACTAATAAGCTTGAATGCCTCATGACAATCCCTGCACATTCTCAAGTTCTTCATTATTCTGATAGTGACACCTTTAGGTGTGTTTATTAGTCCAAACGCCAAGGCAAGTTTCTCACTATGCAAACTCACAATTTCCTCTTTGGCCTCCTCTTCCACATCAACAAACACCAACCCTTTAGTTCCTCCTACATATCCCTTTTCCTTCATTCTCTCTTCCAATTCCTTTAGCAAACTCAGCATCTCTCTCCCATTGGTACATTTAGACATGTCTCCAGCATGGAACAAATAAGTTGATTCTTTTATCTCAATCCAACTGCTGCCAGGTTCCTTGTAGACTCCAGTATGCTTCATTTTAGATCGTAGATTATGAACACTTTCCCAATCCCCTGCCAATGCATAAGCGTTGGACAATGTAACATATGCACCTGCCACTTGTTGGTTGGACTCTATTAGCTTATTGCTGGCTTCAAGGGCAATGTCTACTTTACCATAAAGCCTACTAGCCGAAAGAAGGGTCCCCCACAACATGGCATACCCATCACCTTCAACTTGAACTGATTTTGCTAACTGGTATGCTTCTTCAATTCGCCCCACTCGGCCTAGCATATCTGCAACGCACGTGTAATGTTTTGCTTCAGGAGTCACCCCATATTTCCCATTCATGGAGTTAAGCAGCTCAAGCCCTTTATCTACAAGCCCTGAATGACTGCAAGCGTGCAAGACCCCAACAAAGGTGACATCGTTAGGTTTTATTCTTCTAACAACCATTTCTTCGAAAAGTTGAAGAGACAATGTACCAAGTCCATACTTTGCGGCACCCACAATCATTGAAGTATAGGGGATCACATAAGGAATTGGGATTCTCCTAAAGATTCTAGCAGAATAATTAACACAACCACATTTGGCATACATGTCCACAAGTGCACTAGCAATCACATCACTTGCATCATGTCCAAGACGGATGACCACACCATGAGTGATTTTCCCAGCACCTAGGCTTCCCAGACTTGCACAAGCACTGATTGCACTGCACAACATGAAATGATTCGGTCTGTCCAGTCTAGAATGATTGAATTCCTTAAACATTTGTAGAGCACAGTGCCCTTGTGCATTCTGAGAATAAGTAGTGATCATGGAAGTCCAGGAAACCACATTCCTTGTACACATGGAGTCAAAGATCAGGCGAGCCTCGCCAACATGGTTGCACTTGCCATACATATCAACGAGGGAAGAACATGCAACAAGGTTGGACCGAAGACCAGAAACCTCAACAAGAGCATGAATTTTTCTACCAATCTCAAGATTGGCGAGGATAGAACATGCATTGATGAGAGTGGCAAATGTAAATTCATTGGGCAGGACGAAGGTTCCTTGCATTTGATGGAAGAGACAAAGTGCTATGTTGGGTTGACCCTGGCTGACATAACCAGCCATAAGCGAAGTCCAGGACACGACATTACGCTGAGGCATTTCGTCGAACAGTTTTTGTGCATAGTCGATTCTGAAGAGCCTAAGGTAGCAGTTAATGAGATGGTTGGTGGAAACAGTGTCATTTGAGAAACCGGATTTGACAACGCTGGAGTGCGTCGTTGTTGCGGAGGCTAAATCGTTGCAAGTTTGGAGCTTTGCTATGAAGTGAGTTTTGGTGTTGGTATGGAAATGGAACAGTGGTAGTTTGTGTTGGCAAGAAAGAGAGAAAGAAGAAGAAGAGGTGGCGAGGGATTTTACCAAATTGGGGTTCCACGCCTGTTTCATGTTCCCTCAATTCATTCTGCAAATGACCTACGAAAATTATAAGTTGAAGAAGGACGCTTTGGTCATTGCACTGACAATTTGGTTTTAGAATTATATTTGAAGATACAAACAAATAAATTATGTGACTTCAAATATCGTTTATCAAAATTATATTTTAGAATTATAATTTGATATGACAGAATTTACATACAAAATTTTTGGTAAAAGATGAACTATTAAAAATTAAAAATGATAATTGTAAATGTGTTTTCATTTTACTGATAATTATTATCACACTTTATTCTTTAAAACTTATTCCTTCACTTATGAAAGATTTTAGTAGGATAGGTAGGAAAGTAGAGAAGAGAGTGAAAGCATTGAAAATGTTTGATTTAATATCTGTTTTGCATTCAGATGGAAGGGCCCTCACTGTGCTGCAACAATCAAGGGGAAGCCCACTGGGACTTCAAAATACTTAATCCATGTCCTTTTTTCCTTACATTTCCCATTACCGTTTATACACCACCTATTTTACAATTATTTTCAATAATTGCTATTTTAAAAAATATTCTTTAAAATTCAATTCAGATATAGTAACAGAAGATATTAAACAAAAAAGATACAGACAATTTAAGAAAATCAAGTGGACAGTAAAAAAATAAAAAAGATAGTTTAAGATAGTCTAGAGAGATTTTTTTTTTTACTAATCTTGACGATAATAGGTTAATTTAGACTTGAAGAAAAAGTGTAGAAAATATTAAATAAAAATCTAATTTTCTATAATTAAAATCTATTTAAAAATATAGTTCATATTTAAAGTTTCTAAGTTTTTAAGATTCTTGTTATCTACTAATTTTTATATATTATTAAATTATAATATGTATAATATATAATTTATTTTAAAATATATAAATAAATAATATTTTTTTAAAATATTGAGTTCTCCATCAAATCTTTGGAAGAAAGTAACCATGAGAAAGTCGTACTAAAAAACGAGTTTGTGGAAGAAATGATTATATATATAGTCTATGTAAATACTGTAGGTGGATAAACGCTGTATTAAATGCATTAACTTTTTGAGTTTAAGAACAAATAATTACAATAAGAGAAGGAAATAAAAAAGCACTGTGTCATGAGCTCTCAACAGACACAAAAAACATCAATTTAAAATTGGAAAAGTATTCACAAGCAGTTATGAAGCCTCTAAGAACTAATTTTCTTATTATCTTCACCCGACTTGGAAGGTATTTGTAAAAGCTTATAGCTGGTCAGCCTTGCTTTCATTTAATAGAAATAGATAGGCGCTATATAAGATTGTGATGTTTTGGAATGCCAAGATTCATAATTACACTTGGTCGAATCATGAACAACAAAGGCATGAGACAGTAAATATCCCTATCCGTACAGTCACATCCTCAATTGTATCACTCACCAGTAAGACATATACATGATACATAGTCTTAGAATCCTTGGGACAATTCGATCTTCAAACAGTTATAAAATATAATATAATAGACACTACATAATGTAACCAGTACATGTCACTGAAATAATGTCAAGAACCATTGCTGTTGAGTTTAGATTTAAAAGGCATACCCATTCACCTGATGATTTCTAAGCTGATAAACAAAGTATAATTTCCCTGGAGCGCTTACAGAATTTTAGGGGAACAAATAACAGACGGGCATCAAATATGTTGAGAAGGAATTGCAGCAATCAGAAGCCAAAAAGATGGTGAAAGTATGAGAGCGCTGGATTATGTAATTGATTACAATTTCCCAAGATAATCACACATCTAGTAGTCCATACCTGGACATGGAGGCAAATATACATGCAGGCAGCTCCTCTACTTTAAGGAAATTTCTAAGGAAAAACTCATTTCTTTTGCAGAAGCTCAACCATTACCTTTTTGTTTTCATTTTGCAGTAACCACTTCATCAAAACAATCATTTAGACCACGTCAAGCCAAGTACTTGAAAATGTTAGGATTATCTTTGTCTCTTTCCAAGTAGTCTCGAGAAATCAAATCTTCAATCCGCTTTTTAATAGCCTTGACGTCAGGCTGGACAATTACATTCCACATGAAAGAAAATCAAGACTTGAGGAAGAAAAACATCATACATATGTTAGGAGAGTAGTGAAATATGTACCTTAAACATGCGACCCAACTGTTCAACACACTCCATGACTAATTGTTGGTAGCCCAACACTTTCCGACTCTTCATAATACGCACAATTGAGGCATCGATAGCATATCTTCTGTCTTTATCAACATCCTCGATTACTTTCTTCTTCTCATCCACAGGAGGAAGAGGAATCTGCATAAAAAATGTGTCAAATCCACTCAAAAGTTCCTAAATAGAAAAAGTTAAGATTAAAACACATGTTAAATAAAATGATACCTTGATTCTCCTCATTTTGTCGGTAAATTTAGAATTAAATTCGAAAGAATCAGTGGCTGATATTGTTTTTGTATTTGGCTCCTTGACGAGAATCTTGTACTTGGCACATGACAAGGAATGCAGCAGTCTAATAACATCATCGTCTGATAAGTTTAATTGCGTCATTATCTCTGAGTAACTCAGTCTATCTGACAAATTAAAAAGCAGCAACGCTGAAGCCTATTTAAAAAGCGACAAAGAGAAATTATGTCAGCAGAAATATATACAAGATTCCATTGATATCATAGATATTTACATAATTACAGATAAGTAAAGCAGGTAAGTAATATTACCTGGTAGGTTGTAACAATCAGCTCCACGGTTTTGAGCTCAAATTTCCCACTAATAGTACAGGTACCCAAGGAATATATCCATGTAAGTTTTCTGTGCTTTGTTTTAGTTTGATAAAATTCTTTGAATACTTCAACACACCTAATCTAAAAAAGGGGAATAAAGAGATAGGTATTGATTATAACTATAGTCTATAAAATCTTAGTTATGTAGAATCAAAACACTGGCACCAAATGCTTATATCAAGTAGATCAAGATTACCATTTCTGCAGGAAGATTGAGATCAAAAGATTTGTAAGTAGGCCAGAAGCCAGTAGTCAAAACTGTAACTGTCAAATCTATACCAGGGTCTGCATTGGGATTATTGCTTAAATACTCCTCAAAACTAGTTTGATTCTCCTTTGCCAATGTCAAATCCGTAACCTGGTAGGAGACAAAAGCATTTAAATTTTTCTTTTGTCAACTATCCAGAAAATTTCAATATAGTATATAAGCTAGTGTTAACAAAGACTAGAAAAATGCTGACCATTCCTTCCATCTTTGAGGTAAACTGTCCACCACATTGTTGCTTCAATTTTGTCAAAATACTTCTCTCATGATCATCATTGGCACTCTTGTCAAAGAGAAGCCTTCGAGCAAGCTTCTTCCTGAAAGCAACCAAGCAAAAATCCTGTATTAATATTATTTATCAAAGCATCTTACATCTGACAATCAGATATATCCGCAGAAAAGTGCTTTAAATTAGCCCTGAAAACTACAAAAAAAAAAGAAGCTTTGAAGTAAATATGTAAAACAATATTTGGAAGAAATTATGCAAGCAAAAAGTATAACAGGCACCATAAAACTTGGTCGATCATTAGACACTCCAATGGGGAATTGCTGGTTCCTAAAATCATGATAAAATGTTGTTGAACATTGCTAAACAATATGGGATATATTTAGTATCTCTGCCATTAATTTCAGAGAAACCGTTAAACTTGTTATATAATCCCTTTGTCCAGAAAATTCCAAATTTTCATCATATTAAAATGTGTTTAGATAAATTGATGAAAAGTCTAGAGACAAATGAGTAGATATAAAACTAAAATAGATTTCCTTCTTGAAATAATTGCGCTCCACTTTGCTTAACCCACCATTATCTATTTCATTTTAGCCATCCATTCATCGCGGCCTTTAACCTTTTCAAAAACATACATAGCATTTTCTAGTAAACATGAACTAAAGAACCAATTCTCCCTACACCTTAAAGTGTTAGGTAAAGGCCCAATATTAGTTTTACAAGGGCCTTTTGTGCCTGAAAGGTGCACAGTGCGAAAATTCAACTAGAGCGATAAGGATGGCAAGGATTGACTCCTAACTATTTGATTATAGAGGATTCCGAATCATGTCAAGGACTAACTCCCAAATAATGAAGGCCAAATATTGATGGTACTGTATCCCTAGAAGTAAGGAAAACAAAATTCTACATGCAACAGTGCATATTTAATTTTCAGACAACCAAAAAACAGTGGAAGCAATTTTTGTGATGCAATTATGAAATGAATATATAAAACACTGGCGATAACTGCTAGAAGGTAAAGATTGAAGCACCAGCCAAGCAATATAAAATCCTTTTTTGACAAGCATATCCAACCTAACAATCATCATTAAAAAAAAAAAAAAAAAAAATCTACTTTGCTATATTACCTATAGAATTCAGCAAACAAGTCCTTGTCACTGATATAAGCAAGCAGCTTGACCACCTGCAGATAGACCAAAACAAATCCCAAATTCAAAAGTCAAAACTATACTCATCATGTTTATTTATAGAAGTAAAAGTGGAACATCAATAATGATGCTGACCTTTTCTAGAGTTTCTTCTATTGCTTCATCACTTAATTTTTCACTTCCTCCTTTCTTAAGAATGTTATCACAGAAGGAGGCAAGCAGTTCTGCACTTGAACTTCCAGCAACACCTTTGTTGCAAAAGACCTCAAAAGCCTCTTTAAGAGCCTATATGATCAAAACATTCAGATTTGCAAGTACACATATCAATCCAACAAGTTTGTAAGGGAACTTTCTACTCAAAACCTTGTGAAAAAGAGTATGATTCTGGAAACAATCATTCACATATGCCAGGTACTTGTCATGCAGCTCAATGACTTTCCGAACAAAAACCTGAAGCAAGAAACCAATTTAAATTTCCACAAATTGAATAAAGAAAAATGTAGTCAAATTAATAAAATTATTTTCATCACCTGCTCCTGAAGACCAACAATATCCTTTTTTTCTGCCTGTAGGTATTTTCATTTTTTTTTTAAAAGGGACAAAATAACAAGGTCAGTAACAAAACAAATTGCCCCAAAAAGTACGACACGGTACCAACTTGAGCAGTAAGAAAAATACTAGTAAATGAGACTATTAATGAATCATTTTGCTGCAACACAAAGCAACTTTAAAATCATGTCAAAAGCCGACCATTAACAATTAAACAGACATTTCAATGGATCAATAAGGAGATTATATATTCAGAACTAAGAATGCTAGTGCAAACTAATTACTGCAATCAAGAAATTAAAACTCTCAACCAGAAATAAGCAAAACTGTAGAAACCTTTTTGTTGCTAGCTGCATCTTCAGCCTGCTTCACCAATGCCATACCTTCAGTGGTGACATGCTGGGACAAGGGAAAGAGAAATATCAGCAAGTGAGCAAAGAAAGGAGAACAGAAGAGCCCAAAAATTGACAATGACATGTACAAAAGAGAGGAAAAGCACAAAAATGGTTCAACATGACCCACCTGCTTAAATATGCTGGAAACAGGATCTAAGCCTCGAGGTATCTTAGAGAACAGCCTGAACATTCTTGACAAGTCTTCAACCTAAGCATGTAAAGGAATTTTCAGAATCCCATGTACTCATGGTTGAAAAAATTGTACACATAACAAGAAAATAAAGTTTCATATGTACCTTGTCATCTCTAAGTAAAGCATGACATCCAGAGTGCTCTTTCTCGAGAAGTTGGTTTGCATACACAGATAACAATTCATGTTGAACTTTCTAAACAAGAAATTTCCAGAAGAACAAAAAAAAAACATTATAACATTAAAAAAAATCCTTCAGTTGCATGGCAATACTCCACTAAGCATGGTAGAAGACCAAATAGCTGAAACAGTACCACAAAGTAAAGAACAGACCTCTAATAACTTTGGCTCACTACTAGAGTGTAAATAATGTGCAACCCTATCTTTCTCCCGTTTTAAGCACTCCTCAGCCTGTGATAAAAACATCAGAAGATCAAATAGAGGCCAGAAAGTAATGTAAATGAAGAAACCAAGTTACAGTAAGCATAAACAAGAAACCATACCTTGAGCATATAATCAGGACAAGAATCTTCTAGGATCCAGTTTGAAGCCTTTCGGGAATAATAAGCAGAAGTATCTTTGAGCATGGCAGTTTCAAAATCATTCTCATAGTGATCCATTTGCCCCATTCCAATTTCAACAAATATGTCTAATACATTCTTTAATAGAGCTCTATCAATCTGCTCTCCCTCACGTTCTTGATCAATCTTTATAAGCAAAAATAGATTTGTTAATTGATCTAAAATTTATAATCATAGAAAATCTAGCATACTAAGGAAGAAAAACATACAAGTGAAATAACTGCATCTCTAACTTTCGAATTTAGTTCCTTGTAAACCTGCAATTGAGAAACCCACAACTTTATTTTCTGATAATGTTGCATTAAATGAAATGTCAATAAAAGGAAAACCATCCAATTTGCACTAGCACTGCATGTCTTTTTTTATGACATGTACAAGACTAGTTAATTGAAAGAACTAGTATAGTAGATTGTTTATAGTAACAGCATTAGTTGCATTACCAAATCACGGAAGCAAGTCAATCCAACTTCATTAAGGGCTGGAAGTGATCTCCGAGCAATAAAGTAACGATCCAAATAGTGAAAGAACCTGGAAAGCCACCTGACCATAATTTTATGGTTTGCCCATCTTTTCACGAGTTCTCTCAACATAAATTCATCATGCTTCTCTCTCAAAGAAGGCAATACCTGGACCAAAAAGGAAAATAAGACAGCATTGTATTAGAAGAAAAAATTGAAAAAATTAATGACTGATACATCCATCTTGAAAACAAACAGAAAAATATATTTTTCAGTTAACATGTAGATAGTAGCCTGGTTGGATAGCCAAGAAATCCCATTTGCTGGAACAAAACCGAAATTGCACAGCCACTTGTTTGGGTAACATTTTGGATTCTCAATCAATTTTACGGTGAGTACAATTGATGTTGAGAGAAGTGAATAATTTTACGAGGTAATGGATCTGCTTTTAATTTATAAATAAATATGGTAAATTGGGGGTGATGGCTTTGCTTTTAATTTTAGTAAAGGGAAAGAATTAAAAAGGAATAGTTTTCCTTTCACTATTTATTACGACAACTTCAAGTAAGAACTAGACAATACATTTCCCCAAAATGATAGAAAAAAATTAAAAATACATCAAAGTCCCAGAAATGTAATGAAACAATTTAGTGGTGTTTATGCAACCTATGCCAATATCACTACCAAAGAATCAACATGACTAGATATGATACTCCTAATTGTATTAAATTTGTAAGCAAATATAAGAACCAAACAATACACCACGAAGTCTATCTTATTATGTGCCCAGAATCACATGAGAGTGTCACTGACCGTTGATAGAATGTACTCTTCAAAAGACTCTCTATACTTGTCATAAAGTTGTTGGGAATAGTCATGAGGAGGCTTCTGAGTACACATATTGTAGATGGTCCTGCAATAAGAATCAAGACAAAACAGTGCTCAGATAAAAAGTATACAAACCAAAAAGATCTCAAACAACCAAAAATAAACAGTTCAAAGATGAATACGTATAAAGCATCATGTAGTCCTCAGAGCTGAATTGAGGCTCGGGCAGGCCTTCCAGAATATTCTTGAGCTTGGTGATGCCCTTCTGCATGAAATCCCATCCCTGTTCGAGGTCGATAGTCTTCCGCTCACTCATCGACATGATGCCGAACTAAACACCGGAATCTGCACTGGAACGACGAATAATCGCACACGGTAAATGAAATTGAAGGGTATCAAGAAGGAAGAGCGAAATCAATCGCAGGGAAGGGAGGAATTATTGTCGGGAACGGAAAGGATTGGAAATGTGGAGGACAAAAGCGGTGGCGATCGGGCTCTGAGATTGAGAGAGAAGGTTCATAAAGGAGGGAGAGTGAAATCGGAGAGAGAACCCTAGAAATGGTTGGTGAAGGAGAAGGAGGAAAAGAGAAGGGTCGAAACGGAGGAGGAAGAAGAAGATGAAGGAAGCAGAAGCATTGATGGGAAAAGGAAAGGGAACACACGACCCCTCTCCTCCTTCAAAAAAATCCTTCTGGACCAAAAATTGCTCTTTCGGTGTCGGAACTATTATTTAAATCAAATCCATATTGTTTTCTTGTAATAAATTTTTTTATGTTTCTATTAACTTTATTCAATTACTTAAATTTTTCTCTATTTTAATATATTTTTTAATTACATTAAAATTATATAAAAATAATTACAAAAGAAACATTCTTTATATATAATTATAATTTTTTTTTAGATATGTAATCATGATTGTATTAGATAATATAAAATTAGTGTATTAATAATTTTTAAAAAAATTATTATATTTTTTCTATTATTAATTTTTTAATTTATATATTAAAATAATTAATAAAATTTTTAAGCACTTATCCATCCTGTCCCTTAAAATTGTTATAATTATTTTTCATATTAAAAAATATAATATATATATATATATATATATATATATATATATATTATGTCATATCTTATTCATTTTACTTCAATAATTTAAAAAATATATTTTTTCTTCATTTATTTTTTAAAATTATTTAATAAATTAATTAACCAAACTTTTTAAACAACCAATCATATTATCTAAGAATCTAATGATTTTTTTTATCTTAAAAAATATAAAATATAAATTTATAATAAAATATTATTTTTAACTAAATTATTATTAATTTTATTTTAATATAATTTTTTTAATAAATTTTAAAAATCATTTTTTCTCTTCATTTATTTTATTTTATTTATTTATTTAAGTTATTTAATCAAACAATTATAATAAAATTAAGATTCCTTTAATAAAAAATTATTTAAAATAATTAATACTTGAATTAAATATCTCTAAGTAACTTTCATAATAAATACTCATTCTTTTAATATATATATATATATATATATATATATATATATATATAATTACTTTAAATAATTATTATTTTATTAAAAAATTTAATAAATAACTTCCATTATAAATACTTTTTTAAGGCTTTTAATAAATAACTTTTCCGTTTTCCGTTATATAGAATGGTCAATTTTCTGTTTCTAAAAACTACTTTAATTAAGAGGTACGACGGTTAGAACAAAAATATTTAATGTTATTAATTTTTTGTTGTTTTCAAGAATATTTATTTATTTCGAATATAATTAGTTAATATTTATACAAATATTTGTTCTTATCTTAATATTCATTCAGAAGAGAATTGTGTTTTTTCTTCTACAAAATAATTAACTGGGATATCATTTTCAAAAGTTTTTTTTTTCATTTTTTAATAGGGTGAGTTTAAAGATTACAAATTATGATACTTATAATTAAGTGAATTTAATAAATTTTTACTTAAAAATTAATTTTTAAAAAATAATTATTAATTTTTGCTAATAAGACAACTTTTACCTTAAAAAACAATTAGGTAATAAGGCAACTTATGAAAAATATATAATTTGATGAACTTTAAAATACATCATCAAAAGGTGTCTGATTCTATTGCTATTCATATATTTTCTGTATTTTTTGTTTCATTTAATCTTTGCCAAAACCCTAACATTAAATTTTTTTTCTTAAATAACCGAAAAAATAAAATAAAATATTACCCTGTATAACTCACATTGTCATTTTTTATTTTTCTTCATTTTTAATTAATTTATTTAAGTTAACTTATATTACTTTGTAATTACTTAAATTATAATTACTAAATAAATAATTTAATATAATTAATGTATTCAAAAATGTTAATACTAAATTATCAAATTCTAATAATTTAATTAATAAATAATAATTAATAATAATCATACTAATATTCAATTAGTAAATATTTTAATAACTAATAAATATTTATAATTATTTAATCAATAAATGTTAATAAATCAATAAATTTAATAACAATATTAATTATTTAATTAATAAATGTCTCAATATATTTATTATAAGAAAATTTTAAAATGTAACATTAATTTATAACTTAATAAAATATAGTTCTTCAACGATCTAATTAATACATATTTAATAAAAATGCACATTCAATTAAGATAATTGAAGGGGAAACAGTTAAGATTAACAACGTAACATTTCATTACATAAATCAATACAAATATTAATTTCATTAATTATTTAATTAATAAATAACTCAATATATTTACAGTAATTAAGGTTTTTAATTAAAAATATATATATATATATATATATATAATTATAATATATTTGTTCCTTTGAAAAGTAGTGATATAAAAAAATATTTAAATATAGTAAATAAATTAATTAAAATTAAATATTTTATAATTACAAAATTACTCCTATAATTATTAATTTTTATGAATAAAATAAATTGTTAAATTAACATTTTTAAATGAATATTTATTTTTTAACATATAATTATAAAATATTTGTACTATAAAACTATATTTTTAAATAGTTAAATTTAAACTAATAAAAATAATACCATATTAAAAATATAAAATATATTAAATTATATATTTAATTTTTATAATTAGTTTTATATTTATGATATTCTATTAAAATTGTAATTTATATATATATATATATTAAATATAAAAAATAATAATGATTTATTTGAGTTAGATTAATTTCATAAAATAATATTGTTTTAGTATTTTTAATTATTTTCAGTAAAATATTTGTATTAATCTCATAAATAAGATAATTAAAAAGAAAAGTTACTTAAATAAAAACTCTATAAATTTATTTATTCAATTAGACCTATTTATTATTTATACAAAAATTAAATAAATAAAAATAAATTCATCGGACGTAATATAAATATTTTTTTCTTTTTTTCTCGTTTTTTTTTCTTTTTTTCATCCAGTATTTACCTTATTTTTAATAAATATTATATAATAAATTTGAGATATTATAAATATTATGTTATAATTATTAATAAAAAATTAAATATTTATCTTAAAATAATTTTTTAACAAATAATTTTTTTTAAATTACCTAATTTAACTAATTATCATAATTCAATTTAATTATAATTATATTAAATTATTAGGTAAAATATACATTTAATTCATAACTATTTTATAATTTTTAATTAGATGAATAATTATTATTATGATAAAATAATTTTAAATTATCTATGTTATAGTAAAAAAAATTATTTATTGTCAAAATAAATAAAACCATTTATTGTAATCATAATTTTAAATAATAATTTAATATTTTTTTAATTTCAAAGTTAATTTTAAAATATTTGTTTTAACATATTTTTATTAAATTTTAATATAATAATTTAATTAAAAAAATAAATGAGAAAAACAAAAGACCTATATAATAAAAAAAACAATGAGTGTACGCGGAAAAAGAAAACACGATAAAAAAAATTAAGAGGACAGAAAATAAAACTGAGTATAAAAATCTATTTAATACATAAATTGGTAAAAATTCTATTTAAATAAATTTTCTTTTAAAAAATATTATTCATCTTCTAAAATATTCAAATTATATTACAAACACAAGGTATTTTATTAAAAAAATATTAATTTTTTATTTTCTCAAACCAATAATCATTTACAGATCTTTTAACGCTAATGACTTTTCCTGTAAACTAAGCTCACCTAACAGAAAAATAAATAAAGTTAATAATATTTAATTATATAAATCAATAAATATATTAATTTCATTAATAAATGATTGATATTATTTATTGTAATTAAAGTTTTAAATACTTTTTTTAACTATTTATTTAATATCTAAATAATTAAATTAATTAACATATTTAAAAAGAAAATAATATTTCACTGCATAAATAAAATAGAAAGAAAAAAATTTGTATAAATTTTACAAATAAATTTAAATGATAAAATATAATTATTTTTTTGGATTATTTCTTTCCACTTGACCTAATTTCAATCATTGATTTATATCTAATAATTATAAAAGAAAAAGATGAATATATTTTTCTCTTTATTTTTGGGAAAAACTAATTGTCGTTGTAATATGTTTAAATTTAATAAATTAATCTTTAAAATAAAAAAAATATATTTAGTAATTTATTTTACCTTTTATATAAATAAAAATTTACTAAATATTAAATTTAAGTATAAATAACTATTGAAATCACCTTCAATTATATCTACTATATATAACAGTCTTGTTATGGTTGTCCACTTTAAAAATCAAGAAAAAAAAAATTACGTATGTAAATTTGTTTTAAATATCACAAGCTTCCTTTTTCACAGGGACAATATATTTGCTTTAAATAGCATATTAAAATATATTTTTTATTTCATTAGATTGTATTCAAATCAAACTCATGTCATCATGAAGAACAAAACAGCCCTATAAACTATTGACTTATATAGTCTTGTCTTTTCTTAATTGTGCAAACTTTGCTTCTGCATTCAGTGTACTGCTACTTCATCTTCATTCATATATTATAATGATTAGTGTAGGTAGGACAGAGTGATGGTATAATTAGGCATGTAAGGTATTCTTTTAGCCTCAACAATTATCCTCAAATCAGTTCTACAATATTCAAATTATGTTTCGTTTCGACTCAATTACTATTATAGTATTATTCTCTCTTCGTATAAATTCTATCTTACTGTTTCTAATGGATGTATAACATTTATGAGAAGGCTCTTAAAGTTGAAGTGCATGCAAAAAAAAAAAAAAAATTCTTCGTTAAGGTTTAATGGAGTGAAATTTCCATTTTC